CAAAGTGCTGGGATTACAAGTGTGAGCCACTGCACCCGGCCTGCACTAGGCTTCTTGATAGTCCTCAAACACCCCAGGATGCTCTGTAGTTCCATTGTCCTAGGTGATTTCTCTGTGTGATATACTGTTTCCTCAGATCTGCACTAGACGAGTCCTTAACTGCTCTAAGTCCATGCTAAAACATAACTGTCTTACTAGACCTGTCCCAGCCACCCTGTATTGCACAACTGGTTTTATCCCACTCTCACTGATTCTTAACCTGCTCTAGTTTGTCTTATCTCCACAACACTCCTAGCCCTCTATATTGTTTAGGAGTTTTGGATTTTGTGTGTGTGTCTGTGTGAGTGTGTGCGTGTACGTGCACTATGTATGTATCTCCATTGTGACTTTGTTTGTTTGTTTAGAGACAGGGTTTCGCTATATAGCCCAGGCTGGTCTCAAACTCCTGTTCTCAAGCAATCCTCCTGTTTCAGCGTCCTGAGTAGCTAGGACTACAGGTACATACCACCAGGCCCAGCTCTGCATCTCCACTGTTTAGAGCAGACCCTGTCACAAGATAGCCAAGTACTTGTTGAGTTAATTAATTCAAAGCTAGTAAATATATAAAAATTTATTTTCAAATGGCTATGAACATCCTAAGGAAAAATAAAAGAGTAATATTGGGGTGAGGAGCTACTTCAAAAATTTTTCGATTATGATTATTTTTTAAAGAGCCAGGTTCTCATTCTGCTGCCAGAATGCAGTGGCACAATCATGGCTCACTGTAGCCTACAATTCCATGGCTCAAGTGATCTTCCTGCTTCAGCCACCCAAGTAGCCAGGACTATAGGCACCCACCACCCACAGCTGGCTAATTTTTAAATTTTTCAGAGACAGGGTCTCACTATGCTGCCCAGGCTGGTCTTGAACTCCTGGGCTCAAGTGATCCTCCTACCTTGGCTTCTCCAAGTGCTGGGATTACAGGCCACCATACCTGGCCGGGGGGGCCACTTTAAGAGATCTGCACTTGAGCCCAGGTTGAGACCAGCTGGGCAACATAATGAGACTCCATCTCTACAAAAAATAAAAAAGTTAGTTGGGTGTGGTGGTGTGGCCAGTGATCCCAGTTACTCAGGAAGCTGAGATGGGAGGATCACATGAGCCCGGGAGGTCAAGGCTGCAGTGAGCTATGACCCTGCTACTGTACTCCAGCCTGGGTTACACAGTGAGACTCCATCTCAAAAAAAAAAAAAAGAAGAAGAAGAGATCTGGAAAGGCCTCTGTGAGAAGGCAATGGTTGATACAAGCTGAAGCTAATTTCCTGGACCACATGTCTACAATCCAGGTAGGACTGACTCAACGCTATACCTTTTACATCATCTTGCAAAGTGCCTTCCCTCAGGTTCTCTAAGAAGTATTTGTAGAGTGAATGTTGAGTGGATTTTATAATGAGGCTGCTAAATCCCCATGGTCTCCTGGCACCACTGTAGAACTGTTGGGTCACCCCTGGCTGTTAAAGCCATTTTCAGCCAGGCACGGTGGCTCACGCCTGTAATCCCAGAACTTTGAGAGGCCTAGGCGGGCAGATCACAAGGTCAGGAGTTCAAGACCAGACTGGTCTATGTGTGTTTTGTGATTCCCATCTTACACTCATAAGATAAAGGAGATGCTATGATTTGGACATAGTTCGTCTCCACCAAAACTCATGTTTAAATTTCATTTCCAAGCTGGGCATGGTGGTGCACATCTGTAGTGCCAGCTACTTGGGAGGCTGAAGCAGAGGATCACTTGAGCCTAGAAGTTCACAGATAGCCTGGGTAACACAGTAAGATGCCATATGATATGGTTTGGCTGTGTCCCCACCCAAATCTCATATTGAATTATAACTCTCACAATTCCCATGTGTCATGGGGGGATTGGTGGGAGGTGATTGAAATATGGGGGCGGGTCATTCCTGTGCTGTTCTCATGTTAGTGAATGAGTCCCACCAGATCTGATGCTTTTTAAAAAAGGAGTTTCTGGCTGGGTGTGGTGGCTCATGCCTGTAATCCCAGCGCTTTGAGAGGCCAAGGTGAGTGGATCACCTAAGGTCCGGAGTTTGAGCCCAGCCTGGCCAACATGGTGAAACCCCATCTCTACTAAAAACAGAAAAACTTAGCCAGGCATCTGTTTCATAAAGAAACTCTGATAAGACTTTTTTTAAAGCCAAGCTCTGCCATGGGTTTGTATCCTCAAATACCTATCAGTTGGGTAAATTCCTCTCCTTTTGAGCTCCCAAGATAACTCAGGGCTCCTGGACGTGTGAGAAAGTGACATTCTTTACTTACTACAGGTCAGAAACCCTGTATAAGGACTATAGGCAAGCTATGAGGCCAGTTCCCCAAAGGGCTTTTATTGGCTATACCAGTCAAGTTTGGATTCCTTAAAGGAAAGCACACCATTCTAGTCAAAGCCTTGGTAAATTAATCAATTTCTCCAATTGTGTCCTGTTAACAAAAGAAAACAGATTGTTCTTGCACTTATGCAAATAACTATATTGCCATGATACTCACAACTAGTTTCCAAATTCTGGAAAAATCAGGTAAGAGAAACAAATTAATTCCAAATTTTATTCATAGGGTATATTCAACTGGTAAAAGTTGTAAACAGCCCAAAAGAAAAGTTTCCTTGACTCTGAAAAACAAAACAAAGAAGCAGCAACATTTTAAATAAAGTTATAAAGATTAGACTTCTTCAGTTTAGTCCATGTAGTTAAACTACTGTTTGATACTTATGAACATTTCAGTTCTCTATGAGAGTTCTAAAAGTTTTTTCCTCTATTCTGATGTCACAATCTCTAAAGTTATCAGAAACCCTGCATTTAAGAACACTGCTAGAGTTCTTTTTTTTTTTTTTTTTTTGAGATGAAGTCTCACACTGTTGCCTGGGCTAAAGTGCAGTAGCGTGATCTCGGCTCACTGCAACCTCTGCTTCCCAGGTTCAAGCGACTCTCCTGCCTCAGCCTCCCAAGTAACTGGAATCACAGGTGCTCACCATGCCCAGCTAATTTTTTTGTATTTTTAGTAGAGATGGGGTTTCACTATGTTGGCCAGGCTGGTGTCGAACTCCTAACCTGATGATCCACCTGCCTCAGCCTCCCAAAGTGCTGAGATTACAGTGGCTTAAGCCACTGCACCCAGCCTAGAGTTCTACAGTTGATTATAAACCACCTTCTAAATAGGATTAAAACAAGACAATTGTCTATGGATGACAGAAAGTTTTAGGATAGTCACTATTAAAGCCACAATTGATAAAGACATTTGGTTACTTCTGTGGCACACAAAATTTCACATGACAATTATAATTATTAATAACATATACTAAGTTATATTAGAATTATAGGAGTTTCCCATTACTTTGGAACATATACCAATAACACATTTATACACATATAGTCCAAAGAAAGCAAAACACCATTTCACAGTTGATAATGCTTCCCATATAATTTTTATACCAAATAAGCCAAATTTCACCTTTACATTAATATACTATTAATGTTAAACCCGATTTTTAATAAAACCTTATAGACGGCCAGGTGCAGTGGTTCAAGCCTGTAATCCCAGCATTTTAGGAGGCCAAGGCAGGTGGATCATGAGGTCAGGAGTTCAAGACAAGCCTGACCAACATGTTGAAACCCCGTCTCTACTAAAAATATAAAAATTAGCAAGGTGTGGTGGTGCATGCCTGTAGTCCCAGTTACTCGGGAGACTGAGGCAGGAGAATCGCTTGAACCCAGGAGGCAGAGGTTGCAATGAGCTGAGATTGCGCCACTGCACTCCAGCCTGGGCAACAGAGCAATACTCTGTCTGAAAACAAAAAACAAACCTTATAGACACATTTACCCAATTTTAATGTTTAGCCATAAAATTAGATTCTTATTCAGGGTTCAAGAAATTATCCTGTCTCAGCCTCCCGGTAACTGGAATTACAGGTGTACACCACCACACCCAGCTAATTTTTGTTTTGGAGAGGTGGGGTTTCACCATGTTGGTCAGGCTGGTCTTGAATTCCTGACCTCAGGTGATCTGCCCGCCTCCTCTTCCCAGAGTATTAGGATTATAGGTGTAAGCCACTGCACCCAGCCTATCCACTTTTAATTAAGCTGACTTTTAACTATAGTGCTCTTTAAAAAAGAAATCCTTTCAAATCTCTCATTACCCGACTTTAGCCATGCCAAGAAGCTAATATTTCTAGCCTCTGAACTTTACCAAAGGTAACTCCTAGGTGTGTAGAGAAAGGAAAATTTAAGAAAGTCTGTGAAGAAAGGAATAGACAAATTCACACAGGTATTAAACTGAAACGACTTACTTCTTAGGTGGAGACTCGAACCCAACTGACATTGTGAAAGTGCTAAAACCTTAGTTACTGAGCTACAGCATGGGACAGTGCCCACTTCCTTTCACAGAAGTCTAGAGTAGTTAATTTTGAGCTTGCAAAGGCTTTTAACTATTTAATATGATTTTTAGAGCTGACTATGACATGAGCCCTAATATTCCTGTTCCCTGGAAGGCATAGACCAAGAGAAGATACCACCACATGGTTAAAAGGTCAAGCTCCCAAGGACATAAAACCAGGTGGAGACTTCATCCAGTTTGTTTGTTTCAGGGACCTGCAGCTGTTTGTTACTGACCAGCTTACTGGGTCCTCTCAAAAAACAGGCTGACAGGTGTTCGAAGCCCATGTTTTATCCTACAGAAAAATGAATTCATAGCACAAAATATACCAGCTTAAGACTAGCCTTAGAATTCTTTTTCACACTAATCAAAACTTTACAGAGGAGATAAACACTGATTTATTTTTTTACCATTCATTCAACCATTTGCACAGAGAGAAAGAAGCCAGAAATCTGACTCATAACAAATTCTTACCCTATTGCTGGAATGCCAGCCTTCTGGGCTCTCTTTCTCTGAGTGTGATCTGGCTTATGGCACCATCGTCCTGGGGGCCAAGCCACGTTATAAAGGAAAATTACTTTTTTTCATTCTGATGAGAGCAAAATAAAACACAGACATTTGCCACTCTGCTAAGCACCAATATTAAACTGGCAAGGCTTAACTTTGTCCCCAGATGGGCCTTATCATCTTTAATCCAACCTCTGACTTGGAGCTTCAACATGTAGTCTCTGGACAAGATGGTTGCCCTGAGTAACAGAAAACATAAAGGGAAAGGGAAAGCAAGGAAGGTGAAATGATCAGGGAGGCCAGAGAAAGACCCACCCATTGTAGTGACACTGAAAAGTTCAGACAGCTGCAGCTGCTGTCGTGAATGGATTTTTTTCCAGCAGTCCTGTCAGCTCTCGTTTCCCCTTTTGGGGGAGGAAAAAGCTCCCCATGTCCCACGATCCTGTACATACCTAACCCTGTCACCACAGCCATCAGCAGAGTGCAAGGCAGATTAATCCAAAGAGAACAGCAGTTAATATCCCACAGTGCTGAACTTGTTCTTAGCTGAGAGGGACTTTACTGAGAGGGGCCTCTAACCCCCTAAAGCTTAGAAGGGACTCTACCCCTTTTAAGTTGAGCCTTTAACCCAAGGTCAAGCATCCTTGCCTTTTATTAAGAGGGGCCTCTATCCCACTCTGTCTTAAAAGAGAGACTCTAACTCCCGTAAGTTGGGCGTCTAACCCAATCCCATTCTCTCTCTCTCTTTTTTTTTTTTTT